AACTCCCAACAATCCTCCTGCCTCCTGAATGCTGGGATTATAGGCGAGGGCCGCCATGTGTGGCCTATTTTACCAATATTTTAAAAAGCTTTTAAAAAGTGCTTTTCCTCAGGTTGATAAGAGAACAGTTCAGTGTAGGTAAGCAAACAGTGTTACCAATGATTAGCTTAATTCTTTTACATTCTGGTATATTTCAGGGATAGTCAGCAACATTTCTTTTTATGTACAAAGACAAAGGGGTAATGGAATCCACAGTCCAATTTAGTTTAATGTCTCTACCCTGGAGTAGTTGCTCTATATCCTTTTCAGCTGAAAGGAAAGAAGAAAAAAAAATTAGGAAATTATTTCATGGCTATGCATTATTCAACTATGCATGTAATATGAAGATGTTTTTCACTAGGAATTGGTAACTTGTAGCATACTAGCATCAAGACAAAAGTTTACTAAATAATATCTATTTGATTATGATAATTTAGCTAATGTTGATCAATACCTATATAAAACACTTTTGTAAAGCATAGATTGTACTATATTAATTCAAGGAATGCTAAGTCATACATGGCTGCTTAACTCTGGGAATTTTGTGTTTCTCCTGTTGTATAGTACAAGATCTCAAGGTATGTTGGACTCTTTTTACTTGAAATTCTTACTAAAACTCCTATTAAAGTAAATATCAAATCTTCAGTTGATTTGGCAATGTAAGGGTTTTTTTTTTTTTTTTTTTTTTTTTTTTGGTTAGACTTTAGTTTATATATTTATTACAGCAGGTCTCTAGTCATTATTGCCATGAAAAAGTTTTCAGGAAATTTTACAAAATTCTTTAAGCAATTAGTATTAGCTTTCTTCTTTTTATGGAGTAACACTGTTAATTTATGAAATATTTACAGCATTTACAAAAAGCCAGAGAATGTCTAATAAAATTTCTTATACTTACAAAATTCATAAATTATACTGCTATATTTGAGATGTCTTATTTGATAGACCAATTAAACTATGACATAAAATAATTTACAAAGATATATTTAATCTCTTAATTCTTTGAAAACAAAACCATGTTAGCTATAAATAGTCCTTTACAAATCATTGTAAAGCACACTGTTTTAACTCTAATCTTAGTTTTTACAAATATACTAAATGAATTAGTTCAAATATCAAATACAACTGTGCATTTAAAATTTCACTTAATACTACAAAACAAAACAAAACAACCTGAAAGAGCAAACTGCCCAGTACTTCAAGTAAAAATTTGTAGAACCAGTTTTTATGCATATTTTGGGGGAGGGAAACCCAACACCATTTAAACTGAACTACATAAACAAAATACTTTCAAATACACTCAACAAATGTACATCCACGGCATTTATGTCAGAGAATGATGCTATAGCAGAGACGCTCACACATCCCACATCCAAGGTTAACCCTACATTTTGGCAGATCGGCTGCATTGACTACAGCCATGTTTGCCCAAACATTCACCAAAGCAGCAGGAGGAACCCAACATTCCCACAGTGCTATGTATCAAACAGTGCTATATATGGGGTTTGCCACAACCTGAAAACAATTCAGAGCTTTGGGCAAGCTCATGAGAGAGTCTAGAAAGTAGAACTGGCAATGTGAAGAAAAATCAAACCATATTTAACTGGGTCCCATCAGTTTAATATAAAAATAAGCTTCTTTTGAAAATTAGGGGAAAACCTTTTATATTCCAAAATTTCACAATAATGAAAAACTCACCTACTGAGACAGCTATTTTTCTTTAAGTCACCACTTAGGATGGTATGAAAGCTGGCACTTATTTTACATTTTACTTCTGAAGAATGCCGAGGAAGCTGAGCTTAATTTGGTTTTGACAGTAACACCCACCTTTCACATTTGGATTCATTTCAGAGAAACCAAAGCAACTTCTATCTTACAAGCATCATGGGGAAAACCCCTGGACAAACATTTTCCTCCTCTGATTTAAAATGATGCTGTTGCAATTAAGCCCCAAAATGCATATCATATATGTAGCATTTCTATAGAGATAAATTTTATCTCTCAAAAACTGCTTTCTAAAGGTGTTAGGATTTTCCAGAACCTTCTCTTGGATCCTTTCTTCTGATTGCCGTGGGGACAATGTAGTTTTCTTGTAATAGGTATTCTAGAAGGCACATCTTCAAGAGTTTAAGGTAAGGTTAGCTCAAGATCTACATGGAGGCAAATATTTTACCCTACTTTGTACAGATGCCCACAATTATTTCCTTTATTCTGAGCTCAAACGAAGTGCGAGGGTTCCGCCTGAGAAGTGAGTTTGCACACGGGGCATCATTTGGGAAGGGGAGGTTGGGGGGTCTGAAAGCTTGGCTGAGTTGGCGAGCTGCAGCTCCTGCAGCCCCTTGATGTAGTTGTCACTCGAGGCCAGGAGCTCCACGCAGCGCTGCTCCATGGGATTTGGCTGTTGTTGCTTGATTCTGGGGTTCCATCTAATGTAGTAATTCACCCAGAGTTCCAAGTGATGCATACTGGCAACTGGATATAAAACTCGATTGATTTCTTTCATATAGAAGGGGTTTTTGAATTTCTCTTTGTTTCTGTTGATCATTGACCACAAAGAAACTGTTCTTTCTGGGACTTTCTGTCTTTCTCCAGCAGATTCACAGTTGAATAAGAAAGTACCAAATCGGCAGCTATACATATGATCCAAAATTGTAATCAAAAAGCATTCATTGAATTCAAAAGCTGTGGCGAACTGTTTTGACATCTGCCATACACAATAAACTGAAGAAAAATAGGAGATCAGTCAGCATTGGTGTGGTTTTATCAACATGACCTATTCTAGATGCAAATTTATGTCCGAAACTTATCCACTGTTTTTGTACCAGGATTTCAAAGCCTTCAATGCTCCTGTAGAAATTGTCCAACAGGTTAGCTGAGCAGTCCTGTCCCAGTTGTCACTGCAGTGCAAGAGCACAGAGCTCTTTCCAGAAGAAACTGTCTGCAACTTGAATGACTCCTGTCAGCACCAGCTTGATATGTTCTAACCAATGAGTAGACTCCAACTGGACAACCAAGGAGATTCTTCTACATTAGGATAAACAATGTCTTTCACTTTTTTTAAAGATTCCCGCATAACATGAATATTATGAATGTCTAAGGAGGACAGTTTGGCATTGTGATATGTGTCATCACTTTCATATCCTCCTCCTGTTGCCTTGTTGGTCACTGCATTGATACTGGGTCTTGTGTCAATGGATTGGGAGTCTCGAAATCTGTCTATTTGTCTCCCTGATGAGGTCGAGATATTTCTCATCATCTTTATTTCATTTTCCACTCATACCAACAAGAGGCTGACTACACCGCACGATGACCGTCCTGTTTTCAGGGTGAATCCATGACAGCACTGAGATTCGGTTTAGGAATCTGAAGATGGTGACTCTCCTGAGGTCTTCATCTGCAGCGCAGTAGAGAACCACCAGGAGGGCTGGGTACGTGTCACAGAGCTTGTAGCACTTGCTGATGAAAGCTATCGTCCAGTGGTGGTTGGGCAGGCCCTGCCTCTGGTACTCTTCAACTGGGTTATAAACAGTCCACCCATCCACATTAAACTTCTCTTCATTTAAAAATGCAAACAGTGGCAGACTGTGGGCCAGAGGAAAGGCGTAGAATGTGAGGATCTTGAACATGTCTTTCCTACTGTGGCCTTCCTGCTTCAATGCGAACCTCAGATTTCTCATATCTTTACAAGTAATATCTGGACCATATGAATTTTTTCCTCTACTTGTCGCGCCTCCCATTTTTTCAATTCTTGAGATCACACCCAGAGTGACATCAAGTATTAGAGCAGAATCCAGTAATCAGCGTTTCTCCTAGGAGTCGAGGAACAGTCTCACTGAGATCTCTATTGAGCCCATCTTGAGATGTCCTCTTAATAGATTCATTCTCCAATGAGTGTGAATTATACTTAGTCGATGCAGAGGCGATACTGGAAACTCTTCAACTTGGATGCTGCCTCAGAAACTCCAGGCTTGCTGCGCTGTAAAAGACCCTGGGGTCATTCTGTTTCGACCCATAGATTGGCAGCCTGGGCTTAGCTCCAGAGCTTGCTTGCTGGAAAGGAGACAGGCAGAATCTCCCAGAGCTTTTTAATTAATTAATTTATTTTGCTACCATGGATGGAACTCAGGCTCTGCACTTGTGAGGCAAGCAACTGCACCACTGAGCTAAATCCCCAAGCCTGTAGGGACCTTTATTAGACAAGTTGAAAACACTCATAATAAGACCGTAATGAAAATAACTCTTGCTCACTAGAGATATTTTTTTGTATGATGAGAGAACCAAACCAACTATTTTTATATGCTTAGTTTGTGTATATTTTCCCATTACATTTATCGGTATATTTTAGGCATACAATACAGTTACATTCCTCATTGGGATCTTGTACCTTTACATGTGGTATCTTGGTTTGTGTATTTGAGATATCTATAAATTTTCAATCTCAACTTACTCATCTAAGACTTCCGGAATCGCCTATAGGTCTCGATTAGTATTGAAAATATTGCCGAGTGCTGCCTTTTGTCCCAGCACTAGGGAGGCTGAGTAAGAGGATCATTGAGAGTTTGAGGACAGTTTACCTACAGAGTGAGCTCAAGGACAGCCTGAACTACAAAGCCAGACTGTCTCAAAAAACAGCAACAAGCCGGGCGTGGTGGTGCATGCCTGTAATCCCAACACTGGGGAGACTGAGGCAGGAGGATCACTATGAGTTCGAGGTCTCAACTACATACTGAGACCCTGTCTCAAAAAACGACAACAACAACAACAAAACTTTATTGAAATTATTGAAAATACTCTTTAAAACGTTTGAAAAGAAAAATTAAAATTTGCGTTCTTTGCAAAAATTTACAAACTTTCACTATTATTAAGGCTCACAGTTTCATATTAGTGGACGCTTCATTTTTCATATACTCAGAAGAAAAAATAATATTGACTTTACAGTCTCGGTGTGATCTAGTGTTTTATTAACTATTCTAATAAAAATATGTAAGTATCCCGTGTAATTTATATTATTTAATGTTCACACAAACCAATGAAATATTTTTATCCCGTTTTACGAAGAGAGAAGTTTTCATGCCGAACTTATACAACTTGGTCTTCAAAGTCAATGATCGTTAACTGGAAATCTACTGTAAAGTTGTTAGTCAACCTCAAGAAAGCTCGCGATACTGCACAAACTACAACTCCCAAAATGCAATATGGTTTCTGTCTAAGGTCTCCGCGAGTCTGAATGATTCCAGCATGCTTTGTGGCGCGAAGGGCAACCTGGGAGTGGTAGTGCCTCTGGGCGCCGGCCGGAATCGCCAGCGCGGCAGTGGCGGGTTTAGGGGCTTCCTTCCGAGGTGCTGTTAGAGCTGAGGTGGAGAAAAGGCGCGGAAAAGAAACGGTGAGTCAGATAGCGTCGATGCGATAAAGGGTGACCGCATCGCCACGTAGGTGTAAATTGAGGAAGCGCGGACCGCGCCTCATTCAGTGGTGCTCACCGCGGTCGGTCTCGGAGTCCGCGGAGGAAGGGGAAGCAGGGCGGGCGCCCACAGCAGTTCGGCCCGCGGCGTGACGCCGCCATCTCCGCCATGCAGTCCCGGGAAGAAGCCCCGCGGCCCCGCCGCCTCGCCAGTCCCCGCGGTGGGAGACGGCCCAAAAGGATTTCCAAGCCCTCGGTGTCAGCCTTTTTCACAGGCCCCGAGGAGCTAAAGGACACAGCCCATTCCGCGGCCCTGCTGGCTCAACTCAAGTCCTTCTACGACGCGCGACTGCTGTGCGATGTGACCATCGAAGTGGTGACGCCTGGTAGCGGGCCCGGCACGGGTCGCCTGTTTTCCTGCAATCGCAACGTGTTGGCTGCCGCGTGCCCCTACTTCAAGAGCATGTTCACAGGGGGCATGTACGAGAGCCAGCAAGCGAGCGTGACCATGCACGACGTGGATGCCGAGTCCTTCGAGGTGTTGGTCGACTACTGCTACACGGGTCGGGTGTCCCTGAGCGAGGCCAACGTGCAGCGCCTGTATGCGGCCTCTGACATGCTTCAGCTGGAGTACGTACGCGAAGCCTGTGCTTCTTTCTTGGCTCGCCGCCTGGACCTGGCCAACTGCACCGCCATCCTCAAGTTTGCTGACGCCTTTGACCATCAGGAGCTGCGCTCTCAGGCCCAGTCGTTCATAGCTCACAACTTCAAGCAGCTGAGCAGGATGGGGTCGGTGCGGGAGGAGACGCTAGCAGATCTGAGCCTGGCCCAGCTGCTGGCGGTCCTGCGCCTGGACAGTTTGGACGTAGAGAGTGAGAGGACCGTGTGCCATGTGGCCGTGCAGTGGCTGGAGGCCGCTCCCAAAGAGCGAGGGCCCAGCGCCGTGGAAGTCCTCAGGTGTGTTCGTTGGGCACACTTCACTGAAGAGGATCGGGACTACCTGGAAGGGCTGCTGACCAAGCCCATTGTGAGGAAGTACTGCCTGGACGTTATTGAAGGGGCCCTGCAGGTGCGCTGTGGTGACACGTTGTACAAGTCCCTGGTGCCCAAGCCAAACAACAGCGGCGGCGGCAGCTCTCCTGTATCTGTGGTGGAAAATCCACCTCAGAGATTAGGTATGTGTGCCAAGGAAATGGTGATTTTCTTTGGACATCCCAGGGATCCTTTTCTCTGCTATGACCCATACTCGGGGGACATTTATACAATGCCGTCACCTTTGACCAGCTTGGCTCACACTAAGACTATCACCTCCTCAGCTGTTTGTGTCTCCCCAGACCATGACATCTATTTAGCCGCCCAGCCCAGGAAAGACCTGTGGGTGTATAAACCAGCCCAAAATAGCTGGCAGCAACTGGCTGACCGTTTGCTGTGTCGCGAGGGCATGGATGTAGCGTATCTCAATGGCTATATTTACATTTTGGGTGGTCGAGACCCTATTACTGGAGTTAAGTTGAAGGAAGTGGAATGCTACAGTGTTCAGAGGAACCAGTGGGCTCTGGTGGCTCCCGTACCGCATTCTTTTTATTCCTTTGAATTAATAGTGGTTCAGAACTATCTTTATGCTGTCAACAGTAAGCGCATGCTATGTTATGATCCTAGTCATAATATGTGGCTGAACTGTGCATCTCTTAAGCGAAGTGAATTTCAGGAAGCCTGTATCTTCAATGATGAAATCTATTGTATCTGTGACATCCCAGTCATGAAGGTCTACAACCCAGCTAGGGGAGAATGGAGACGGATTAGCAATATTCCTTTAGACTCAGAGACCCACAACTACCAGATTGTCAATCATGACCAACAGTTACTGCTTATTACTTCTACAACCCCACAATGGAAGAAGAACCGGGTGACTGTGTATGAATATGATACTAGGGAAGACCAGTGGGTTAATATAGGTACTATGTTAGGCCTTTTGCAGTTTGACTCTGGTTTCATTTGCCTCTGTGCTCGCGTTTATCCTTCCTGCCTTGAACCTGGACAGAGTTTCATCACTGAAGAAGATGATGCACGGAGTGAGTCTAGTACTGAATGGGACTTAGATGGATTCAGTGAGCTGGACTCTGAGTCAGGAAGTTCTAGTTCTTTTTCTGATGATGAAGTCTGGGTACAGGTAGCAGCACCTCGCCGTAATGTACCTGAACAGCAGGGTTCTTTGTAAATTTTTTGAAATACTATGATGTTACTGCTGTGTGGAATGTGTCTTTAATAGATATCCTTTTTCCTGGGGAAAAAAAACCAAAACTCAGTTGATTAGGAGTATAGATTTCATTGAAAAAGGGTAATATTTTGAAATTTTAAGTGGCTCTAACATCAGCCCATTTAATAATTTACTGTGCTAAAAGTCTAAAAATATGGAAAAAAATGAACTGCTGTTGGGGAGTTTTTTCTTTTTTTATTAGCATGTTTATGTTTTGATTGTCTTAATTTAGTCCCTTAATTTTTTAATTCTGTTTAGTGACACAGAATTTGACTTAAATTTGTGTGATAATAAACTGGGAATTATTGATAGGATTTTTTGTTTTGTTTTGTTTTTGGGTTTTTTTTTTGGTACCAGGGATTGAACTTGTTGATAGGATTTTGAAAGTGTATATTTTCCTTCAGAATAATGAAAATGGATTTACAAAATTCTTTGTTTTTAGTATTCTAAGTTAAATATTGTTTGTTAAAATTCAGTTTGCTTTTATTTCTACAAAAATTTGTATTAAGATTACTTAATAGTAATTTTATTTTGATGATGTATGACTGGCTTTACAAGGTCACATCATTTTTTTTTTTTTTTTTTTTTTTTTTTTTTTTTTTTT